AAAATTTTAAGCTCCCTTGGATTTATAACTTCTTCATTAAATATGTCTGCAAACAGCAGCCCATAAAAACCTGTAGCAATTAAGTGGTTAAATGAACTGCCTCCCTTGTCAATTTTAAGGGAGTGATTAATATTAGATCGTCCCTTTACTAATTAGATTCTCCCTCGTCTTTCAGCTTTAAAGTCGAATGAAAATGGAGGCTGTTTGCTCCACTAGGAGCCTGGCAGGCTAATGAGCGCTTCCTCTGCCATGTCTTTGACGGTGGCACCTGCCGAAGGACAGGCTGAGTGGCGTGGTTTCCGTGAGGCTGGCAGCTGGCGGGGCGACGGCTGTGCGTGGAGCTGGAAGGTGCTCTGGGCGTCTCACCTGCCCGGGCCCTTTGCCCACAGGAAAGGTTCGCTCCTGTCTTTAAAAGGCGTGCAGCGTGAGACCCCAGGCAAGGGACGGCAGGTGGGCAGGTCAGCGAGAGGCGAGGCTGGGACAGACCAGCTGCAGGACCGGGCGGCGGGTAGGGAGGAGGGTAAACAGGCAACCACGCCGCGGGATTGTTTCAGGAGCTGCTGCCTGGGCTGCAGCGCCAGGGAGCTCCCGCCCTGGCTGCGATGGGGATCCATCAGCTGGAGAAATGGGGCAACTGCTTACAAGGGAAATAAAGAGCGGCAGAGACGGGGAATATTTATATGCCCATCTTCTCACTCCGAGGGAAGATGCTTCATCACGGGGGTTGGCTGCGAAATTACACTTCTCCAGACTCCGAACACACAGAGCCTTTGTCTGGGCGGTGGGGAGGATAAGGGCTTCACGGGGACAACAGCTCCACGGGGCCACTCGCTGTCCCCCTGCAGAGCCAAGCTGGCTGCTGCCAGTCCCCCGTGGGAGGGCGAGGTGTGGCAGGCCGGCCATGCTGCCGCCACCGGTCAGCGCCGGGGTTGTCGCCGTGGCTGAGGGAAGATGAGCAAAAAATCACTTTCTCACGCCTCGGACTGATTTACACGGGCCCTGGGAGGACGGCAAAGCCCCTGCTCTGCGCGGGGGATGGACGTGGTGGCAGGAGGACGGGGGCCGGGCAGGAGCCAGGAGAGTGACAGCATTCACGTGTGAATTTCTCTATTAATCACGGCGTCCTTCATTTCAACCACCCACGCCACCACAGCGTGGGTCTGAATTGTGAGAGGTTCTGCCTTTCCAAAGATTTTTTTTTTTGCAAAATCTGCTCGATGGCACGTACATCGATTCTAACTTTATAACATGACCTTCCTTGCGTGCCTTTTGTGAAACTTACCCCGAGTGCGACATACACCACGACCCCTGGGGAAATGCCTGTGAACACGGCAGCAGCAGCCGTTCGGCCAGGTGCTGCCAGCTGCACGGTGCCCCGACAGCCGCCGCGCCCCGGGGAGGGTGATGAGGCCTGTGCGCCAACGTGAGGCGGGGGAAGCCAAGGGACTGGCCCCAGGGCCAAACCTAAGAGGCAGACTTGTCCCCCTACCCCAGGCATCCAGCCTGGGCGACTGTCCTGTCCACGCCCCGGAGTTGCCTACACAGCCCACGAGCAGCCCTGTAGACACGGTGCCTGGGCAGGGTGTGGTCAGTGGCTCTGGGCCGTGATCTGGCCACAGCACGCCCCCTTCCCCTGCTCTCTAGGCCTCCCTGTCTGCCAGGGCTGAGCGGCACATTCTCCCTCGAGTTGTCAGGATTGTGGGGGATGGAGATGCACCACCCACCCACGGCCCCAGGGCACCGTCTCCCTCCGTTACTCAGTGCTGGCAGCTCCTGGGCGTGGCAGGCCTGGGTCCACCGAGGGTCCTTGCTGGGTGGCCTGGGCAGCTCTCCTGGCTGGCTGCCGGCCTGCTCCCTTTGGTCGCCAGTGTTTTCTCGGGGCTCCCCTGCTCCCGTCCCTAATGGCCACGCTCCAGCTGGATGAGTCATAGGGTTCATTTGAGGGGTGACCTGTTCCTGAGGCCAGATGGTGGTGACAGGGCTCGGGCTTAAATTCAGAAACATCCCCCAGGCAGGGCACGGTGAGTACGGTTAGAGCCAGCGGGAAGGCACAGCGGCCTCAAGTGTGCGCGGACAGAACATGCTGCCTTCAGGGCACGCACTTCTATTCCCCTAAAGTGGGGACCACCCTTCAGTGGATGAAGACTATAGCTGATTCAGCCGGGGTCACGCTCAGGTCCATGGCTGCCAGAGGATTCTGGCAGGTCACCTAATGTCGAGTCCAGGCTCCTTGTGTACAAGGGTAGACATCACTTCCCTGCTTGTGGATGGGAAGGGCGTGGAGGGGTGAAGGGGAGAAGCACCCACCCAGCCGGAAGCAGCCCCTCCGTGGACGCTGGGCTTGCCTGCTGGGGCACCCGACAAGATCAGGGAGGTGTTCTGGACCTGTGGGGAGATGTGTGGTCACAGGTCTGTGCCACCAAACCCAAAGGTGGTCCCCACCCTTACTTACTCTATTGTGTGTTTTTTTTTTTTTTTTACGTTTTGGTTTATGATGTAAAATACAAAGGTTTTTAGTGAGCAAAGCAAATTTCCAAGCTGAGATCTCTCTCTCCCCAGTTCCCTGACCAGGCCTGTTAAGCACGGAATGGAGCAAAAGCAACATCATCCAGACCCAGGGACACCCAGCTGCTCCCACGCGGAGCCCGAGAGCAGAGGCCAGTGGGCCGCGGGTGCCGCTTCTCAGGCCTCTGACTCCCGAGAGCAACGCTGAGGTCAGTGGCTAAAAGTAGCAATTTCAGGTTTATTTATGGAGAAAATCCTCGGACACGGCTGGGGGAGGGGAGCCAGCTCACCACGGCGTGTGCACAGCAGCACTCTAACCACCGCCCCGTGCGCGCCACGGCGGTGCAAGTAACTTTTAAATCCTCGGGTGAAATGAACAACTCCTTGGACTGCGGAAGATACTTGTTCCAGTTTTACACCCTGTTTAACGTCTCCAACCTCTCCCCATTTCCCCACATTTTCTGTACGTCAACTTGAATTTACTTCAGCGGTGAATACAGACCTGCTGTTTTTAACCCACGACTGAGAGTGAGAAACCCAGCCAGTCCCCGTCAGCCGGGCGACGCTTGGCCCCTAGCAACAGAGCAGGGTGACGTGCGTCGCCGGGGTGGGCTTACACTGATGCCCGCCCCCTCTACGCGGACAAGAACAGGAATGATGATAATGATCGTGACCGTGACAATAGTACCGGTAACTGAGGCAAGCGCTGCTCAGGCTGTCGACAGGACTGTCCCTGTTAAACCCACACCTGCTATAGGGCACGTATTTTATCACAGTCCTGATTTTGCAGAAAAGGAAACAGAGGCTCAGAAGGGTTACGGGGAAGAGCTGAGCGTCAGCCCCAGGTGGCTGACTTCGGAGCACGTCCCCCCACCCCTCCCAGGGACAGCCACATCTCAACTCCGAGTGCCTGACAGCAAGATGGGACATTCTCAGGGAACACGCGTTTGGGTCAGCTTTTGGCCCTTGGAAAATCATGGTTTACAGGGTTTGTACCACATGCCCTGGGCCCTACACTGGGGCCCTCACCTACTACACCCCATCCTGGGACCTCAAAGGCCCAGCCAGGTTGGAACTCAGGTCCCCTGGCCTCCTAAGCCCCGTTGTCCCCACCAGCCCAGAGAGACCCCCTGAGAGGGACATGGATGTATGTAAAGCCTCGAGCCCCTGAGCTGAGCACCCAGCAGGTGTTTATGCAAATAGTGGTACGTCAGGGCCCACAGGTCAGCAGGCCGGAGTACGGCAGGAGGGGAGAGAGCTGGACATTCAGGTGGCTGCACCTAACCCTGTGACGGGGCACTTGTTGCTGGCCAGCTAGTCCCACATATATTCATTTCTCACCCACAAAACACCCCTAGGAGACAGCTTCTGTTGCTATCCCCGGCTAAACAGAGAGGGTGTGACTTGCCCCCAGGCGGCGGTGCAGCTGGGCTGGTCCAGATGTCTGTCCAGTGACCCCAGCCCTGCTTCGCCACCTGCGGATGGAGGCTCCCTCAGAGGCCGTCTCCGCCAGCGCAGGCTGCACCCCACGCAGGGCGCACGGGTTCACAGCCCCCAGAGCCGCCGCAGCCCCCTTGCTTTTGGGAAGGGCAGACGAGAAATTCCACGCACACCTGGATTTCTAATGCACTAGCCAGCCATTTCTTTCCTAAGTTATGTAAAAACCATCTATAGATGACAATCAGGTTTGGTTTTTATGATTTACTGAAAATCTAAGACAAAGGGGGACTTTTTTGTCTTGTTTTTGCTATGACAGGTTTAGAAATTTGTTGTACTACATTGATTCAATTTTCCCTGATTTCAGCCATCTTTCAATAATGCAACCCGCGTCTGCCGGCTGGGTACACAAGAGAAAACCCAAAGGAACTGAGAATATTGAAATGGCTCTACCATTTCCATCTTTGAGACAAATGCTCCTCTCGCAGGAGAGCTGGCTGCGGCACGTGACTGCCTAACGACCTGCTGTGCATGAAAGATGACGCGCACCCCAACACTGGCTCACGAAAACGGGGACACTGGCAGGTCTGCCCTCCGGCTGGAGTCCACCCTCTCGGAGTTCTCCCCACTCCAGCCCTGGGCTTCCTTTTCATCGGGAGCATGTCCACACCCCCCAGGCCGGCCGGGCTGCGCAGGGCGGCGCGGATCGAGCAGAGTGGGCCGCGCCCGAGCCCTGCTCTGACGCACAACAGGCGCCAGCACTTCCCAGACCCTCCTGGGGGCAAATAACGAAACAGAAGCAGGAAGAAAAGTCAACCCCGTGCGCGTCCCCCCCACCTCCACCTCCTCTACTGAGACATTTTTAAGATGAAGCAGGACTGGTGGCTCCATCTGTCACTACAGCCTCTTGATGTGGAGAGGACAGGACGTTGGTCATGTCTGACTGGGGGCCATAAATACACGAGAAGGGAGTCGCTTTTCCCATGAAGTGAATTTGAGTGACATGAAAGATGGGCCCCCACCTGTCCTTCCCGCCCTCCCCTCTGCGCGGCCCTTACCTCCTTCTCGATCTCGGCCAGAGACTTGATGGTGATCCCCAAGAGGTCGAAAGGCTGCATCTGCAAACATAAGCACGTCACCCCCTTAGACGGCTGGAATCTGCTCCGTGCACTCGCTTCTACGCGTGACAGTCGTGAAACCTCAGACCGCCCTGTGGGACCCCTTTCCACAGGAAGCCGGTCCGGCGACTCTGGTCATTAGTGGCGCACGGGGAGGAGAGAGGAGAGCTCGCCGCAGCAACGGGCTGCACAGCCACCCCTCGGCCACGTGTCCACGGCAGCCAGGGGTCTTGGGCCTTCTGGAAGACTGTGCCTGCCTGGCTTTTCCCGCTGCCAAAGAGACGCAGGTGAGCTCTTCCTTGCCATGGCTGTGGGCTGGGAGGTGCCCAAGGCGCCGTGACCGCTGCATGTATACGGCGGCCATGGGACTAAGGACTCACAGGAGTCTCTCGTCCAGGACTCTGTGGGATCCAGGGAAGGGGCTGGGGGATTCCAGGTCTCCGCAAATGCCAGGTGAATGAAACAACTGCCCACCAATTACCGTTTGAGAAATCCATGTGGTAAAAATGGTAACATCGCATTTTAATGAGAGTTTCTATAATTTCATGATGACCAGGGACCTTTCTTTGAAAATGGTGGCTTTTCCTCACACAGCATGAAAAATCAAATACACATGGCAACGACCATTAGCGGGAGGCCCATGAAGCTTGGGCTGAAACACCCTGGGACAGAGGGAGCCCAGTCTGTGAGGCCCCTGGTCTGAGTCCCTTGTGGGCACATGAGTGTTCTGTGTTCCCAACAGGGGCCCGAGCCTGGCCTCCTGGCAGCCTGGCACGAGCAGGTGAGGCCTGAGGGCCTTCATGGTCCTGAACTGTGGCAGCCCAGGGGTGGGTAGGGCTAGAGCCTTCCCCGTGCCAGCAGGGACTTCCTGCGAGACTGGCGCTGGAGTCCCGGGACTGGGTTCAAAACTGGGCTGAGCGCCTCCTTGAGATGCAGCAGTAGGTTAAATCCCTTCGTGTCCTCACCAGCGAAAGAGCCTCATGGGCAAGCCTCCTGGCCAGGCTGCGCACTAAACGAGAGAAGAGCAGGAAGCGCGGGGCGCTGGGCCTGGCCCGAGTCCGCGGCCTTCAGCACTTGCTGAGTCGGCAGCAGCACACTCGCAAGGGTGATCTTGGGACAGGGCCACCGAACCAGACACTCCGCTCCGGGCTGCTCTGCCAGTAGCCACAAAGCAGTTTGGCTCTCTCTGTGCCGCCAGCCCGAGTGGCGCGAGTGCGCGGCCGCTTGCCCGGGATCCAGCAGAGGTCCAGCTGTTGTATCATTAGGCTCTAACTACCCCACTAAACTTTCCCAATTTGGAGCTGGTGAGCAGGACAGAGCAGCCTCTCCCAGGGAACGGCGGGAGAGGCGCCAGCATCTCCATGGCAACGCTGCCAAGTGGAGTCGGCTGAAGTTACTCAAGCTCTGCGTGTCACGTCACGAGCATTTTTCAAGATTAAGCTGCTTACTAGAAGAGTTCAGAGGAGGCCTATTATATTTCATGAAAATGGAAACTACAGAGCAGGTCAAATCGCAAGCCGGGTGGTTTTAAGCTGGATCCAAGAAAAACACTGAAGGATTCTTTAGCTGGTGCCCAAACTGCAGCCTTCGCGTTTATTAGCTACTCAAAGCGAACTTCTGCAGAAAGGATAAAAACCAGAAACGAGTTTGCTGGGCCGGCGTGGACGGGGTCTGCGCAGCCGAGAGAGGGCCACTGCCACCTTGGGGGTGGGCGCCAGCTGAGCGAGGACCCCAGGAGTGCCGGGGGGCCCGCAGCCCAGGACAGAGCCCGCGATGCTGTAAATGGCGGGCACCTCGCATGGTCTAGGGTCCAACCTTAAGGCCTGGCCAGCTCACTCAGTCCCTCCTGTCACTAACGATGACTCGGGACCCAGCCTGGGTGCGTGTGCTCGCGTGTGCCCTGGGGTCAGTGAGTGGGAGCCCACAGCTAGAGGCTCTGTGCCCACACATGGGGGCCTCCGAGTCAGAGCAGGTGGTGCGGTTAGCACAGGACACACCAATGACAATGGGAAAACCAGGCAGCTTCCTTCATGTGGGGAAACATACTAAGCTGGACTTGGAAAACAAAGAATATTCACAGCCAGCAAGGTTTGGTTTATTTACTGTCACGTGTGACCTGAGAAAGGCTCGGCCGCACCGCGCTGGCTGCTGGCCTGCCTTGCGCTTCTCCCTGTCCCCTCAGCCACTTCCCCTCACTCTTCAAGCTCCTGCTAGGTGAGGCACTAGCCGGAGGGGCCAGAGATGAGCAGACCCACCCCAGCCCTCAGGAAGTCGAGCGGACGCAGGAGTCACCTCCAGTGGGAGAGAGGCCACGCAGGCAGATGTGCGAGGGCCACCAGGACAGCCCCGCACACTGTAGGAACCAGGATGGAGGGACTTCAGGCTGGGGGTGGCAGAGGAAGAGCAATCATGCATAAAACTTACACTTTCTGGAACGCAGGAAAACTTCTCTGAAATCATAAAAGGCACACCATCCATTGCTGCAAAAGAAGAAAAAAAGGAAATGGCGTTGAAGACACCGCCCACGTCCAGTGACCTAAGACGTCAACGCAAAGCACGAATGGGTCTCTGGCTGGAGCCAGCTGACACCCGGCACAAGGGAGCGGGAGCTCTGGGGTGCGAGCAGGCGCCACCCCTGCTCCCATGATAACAACCCAACCAGGGAGGCAGATGCCTCACCAGTCCTGAACACCAGGCAGATGTGAACGCAAGAGCTCAGGCAGCAAGAAAGGCTGGTCTGGGCCCCCTATCCCCCACCCCCATGCTGGAGTCTGGCCTCCAACTTGTAAGTGGTGGAACCCACCAAGGGGCTGACAGCAGGAAAAGGGGACGGAGGTTCGGCAAGGAGGCGGGCAGAAAGCATGATCATCAGACGTTCTCTAAGCTGCCGGCAGGCTCGTGGGAAAGCCTAAGTTGGAGGAAAGAGTAGTTTTGGAGTCAGACTGAGTTTGGATTCTGGCCATGACTTCAGATGAGCAATTGAAATTACTTTTCAAAGGCGGATGGCACCGCCTACGTGAAAGGAGTGCTTGTGCGTGAGAAGCGTCGGGTGCGGGGTGCCGGCTGGCGTGGGCGCAGAGCGGGTGCTCTGTAGGTGGGGGCGAGGGTCACCCTTGCTGACTCTCAGTTGCTCAGTCCTAGGGCTTCGACTCAAGGCGCACCAGTGGCTCGGTTTTAACAGGACAAGAAAGCAAGGGTGTGGGATGGAGACCCAAGGAACGAAAACACCGGGGGTCCGGAGGTGCAGTTCCTTTTCTGCAGGCTGCCCCCCAACCCAATCCACCCCGTCCCAGGTCATCATTGCCAAGGGCACACGGAGAAAATCATGGCCTGGAGCGTGGCTCTGCAGAGAGTGCTTTCTATCAACCGCAGCGTCGGAGAGGAGGAAACCTTGCCGCGCTGGAGGAGCGGGTCACGCTGGACAAGGCGTGACGCTCACTCACAGTGTGAGCACGCGGTGCCACGCGGGGGCTGCCGAGACGTGGGCAGAGACTTCTCCCGGCGTCTGAGCAAAGTCAGGAGTGAGTGGGCCCACGGGCTTGTGCCGGGACCTGCAGCCCAGCGGTCGGGGCTGGGGCCTCACCCTGAGGCCGTGGTTTTGCGGTAGGTTGTGGTTTTAGGGAGAAATGGCATGAACAGAATAGGAGCCGTGGTGAGTGGAAATGACAGGAAATGACACTCTTCGCTTCCCCCAGTGTCTTCTGAAATCAGGCCTTCTCTGGCATCTAAGAGGTGCAGGTTCCTTTCAGTCCTCATAAAGAGCAGCAGAAGCAGAAGGACGCAGAGCAGGAGGGAAGTTAGAGAAAGAAAAGACGTCTGGGATAAATCCTCTCTGACTGGCGAGAGGAGTTAAATGGCTCGTTTCAAGCTATGTTCATACTGCATTTTGGGGAAGAAAACAATGAGACCTTCCCTGGTCAGTACGAAGAAAAAGGCAGAGCGCAGCCAGCTCCAGCTGCTGCCCAAAGCGCAGCCGCCGGGCGCCCCCAGAGGCGCCTGCGGTCAGAGTCCTCCTGCCGCCACAGGTGCCCCCGCAACCTGCCGTGAACTGCACAGAGGAGACGGGGCTGAGGGCGGAAACAGAAAGGAGGGCAGGGGAAAAGCCCAAAATAATCTTACACCATACATCGTGCATTCGAACACACAAGTGGAATCTGAGCACCTACGTGTATATGCTCACTTACAGCTGAAAAAATTCCGCAGTGAACAAAGGACCCTTGAAAAGCCACAAAGCCTTCTAGAAAGGAACGGAACCAAGTCCCACCCAGTTCCCAGGATGAGGCGTGCCAGAGCCTACCAGCCCCAGCTCCACCACCTCTCCCCAACGCCAGCCGCGAGCCAACGCTCCCCCCTCACGGCTCTGACTTCTGAGCCCTTCCTGAGGCCACCGAGACAGGTTGGGCACTTGTATCATTTCTGGTCATTTTACAGATCTGGAGGCAGAGGACTGGAGAAGTTGGAGCTTGCTGGGGTCCCCCAGGTAGGAAGCAGTGACCCCGAAGCCCTAGGGGGCACAGCCTCCTTTACCTCTCCTGTAATTCCTGAGGCCCAGTCTGCCACGGCCTGGTCACTTTCAGCTCTCTGCAGGCGCATTTCACACGCCCGCCCCTTCCATGGCTTCTCTCGCCTACCAGACAGACGCAGCCGAGCCCCCGTGCGCAGGGCAGGCTGGAGACCACTCCCCCCTCCCTCCCCGGCTTTCTGCCTGTGGGTATCAGAGGCCTTATTAGTGTTTGGGGGTGAAGAACTCCCTCTCACTGGTGGTAGGTGCTGGATGTAATGTATGTTTTGAGAGCTCTTGTGTTAAAAAGGTGGTAAGGTGACCTGCAGAGACCTGATCACACTTGGGAACAGAGGGCTGGGGAGTCCTGAGGACTCGAGAGAGGGAGGGAGGGGGCTTGCCCCGGCCAGAGGCTGTCTGTTCGTCCTCCTGGTGCCTCCAAAGGCCAGGCAGGGGTGGATTTCCAAACAGGGTCCTGGCTGCATTTCGGGCACTACGCCTCTTGCACATGCCGCCTTCTTGGCCTTCGTTTTCCCTTCTGCCCTCTGTGCCTGTGCCCTGCCGGCCTCCCGGGGTCTGCTGAGGGCCTCTCCTGCAGGGGAGGCACTGGCCAGGGCCTCCTCTCCTGGAAGGCCCCTGAATAGCTCACCTCTGCATCCTATGTCCCCAGCCCAGGTAAGGGCCTGTCCCCAGGATGGGGATCTTGGGATCTGGGTGGGGGGCTCTGACCTGGGACATGTGTCTGACCTCTCTGAGGACCCAGGGAGTGGCTGACTGCCACCCACCCCTGCTGGTGCTGGGGACGAGAGCCATGGGTGGAAGGAGTCTGAGGATCACCTCCTAGGGACTGGGGAGATCTAAGCAGGGAGGGAATTGAAAGCAGTAATTTATTGAGGTGAAATTCACATAATATAAAGTTAATCAAAGTGAACCATTCGGTGGCATTGAGTACATTCACAATGTCATGTGACCGCCACCTCTGTATAGTTCCAGAACACTCCCATCCCTTCAGAGTAAAACCCCCTTCCCTTTAAGCAGTTTCTCCTTCCTCCCACAAGGAATGTCTTTTTCTCTGTCCTTCCAACTGATGGTCTTGTCTTTGAAAGAGAAGAATCCAGAAACATGGCGGTCCCTTAAGATTGGCTCTCTGGGCCTGGTGGCCTGACCTCCTGTCGTGTCATGCTCCTGCCCAGGGGTGAGGAGGATGGGTTTGCTCAGACTGGCTGGTCTGACTTGGAAGGCTTTACATAAAAACCGAGGAGAAAAAAGCAACTTGTAAAAATTGGATACCAGTAATAATGGCATTTCAATGTACATAGATATAATAGGTAGATTATATCATGCATCTTTATGATACATAATGTATAATACACATTTACACGATATATGTACATGTAAGTGTACACATACATGCCCCCCAGCACCCTGCCGGGGCCCTCTCTTAGCCACTCGGTGCCTGGCAGTGGGCAGAGGGCCCAGTGCAGCTCCCAGCCGGTGGGAGGGAGGCTTCCGGGGAGGCCCCCCCCATGCCACCTTCCAGAGGGACATGCTCCCTCCCAGACCTTCTGGGGAACCAGGGAGTTGCGGGGCGATGGCCAAGCCGCCCGCGTGAGCATATTGAGGTGTCTGGGTAAGGCACACCTGTTGCTGGGGCAGGCTCGAAGGTAATTTGTTACAGAAAAGCCTCCTGCAAAGTGATAGTCTCACGGGAACCCGCCAAAGGCAGCCCCTGGGAGAGAAGGGAGGGGAGACGTGTTCCTGAGACCATCCGAGAAGCCAGAGGTGGGGTGAGGGTGGCCTGTGGGACCCAGAGGCTGACACACCCCACCTGGGCCCAGAAGAGGCAACAAGAACCGCTGGGACCTGGTTCTGATTGCAAGAAGGAGCTGTCTGGCACCGCAACAGAGATGGGACAAATCACCGCTTTGTCTAGAGTTCATGACAGAAAGACAGGCGCAGTCAGATGCTCCCCGTACTCGTCCAGAAAACAGATTTTAACTAACTTGAAGAAAGAAAGACAAGGGGACAGAATCCAAGGGGCTGAAGCTCCCAGCGGGCGCTGAGCCAGAGGAACAAGACCTTGCCAAGCCCTTCTCACCTACACGGGGTCTCCCAGCTGCCAGGAGCCCGCGAGAGTTGACCGAGCAGAGATCTGCCCACCAAATTCACTTATTTTAAAAAATCTAGTATATTGAAGATTAAGACAGGCTGAAAGAATGTGGGTTTCAGCAAAGCATCTGACAAAATTTCTCATGTTATTCATGTAGACACTGTGGATAAATGTGGCTGGAAATGTTAAGGTTAGGAGGATCCACAACCGGTTACCTGCACATTCCAGAAGCTGATTAATAGATCAATGTTAACCCTGAGTGACCTCTCTGAAGGGTGCCCGGGGCGTTATCAATTACTTAAATGAGGATGCTTATCCAACACGTGGCTGATGGCAAGCCTGGGTGGACGGTCTATAAACTAGATAACAGAGTGGAATCCAGTAAGGATCCAAGAAGTTGGGATCACGGGCTAAACTTAATGGATGGAGTTCACTACAGGTCGGTGTAGAGTCCTGTAGTTTGGGTCTAAAAGCCCAGCTGCATTAGCCGGCATGACAGAGACATGGAGTAACAGCAGGAGACAGGAGAAAAGCCGTGGTTGTGGTTAAGTCACTGATGCAATTTGACTATTTAGAGAAGGGGGTGCCAGCGCGGGGTAAGAGTTCTGCAGCCCCGGTGCCCAGGAGGAGCAATTGCCCGTCTTGGTCTGCACCAAGCTTGAATGTGGCGCTCAGTGCCCGGACTGGGCTCTCAGGGGGTGGCCCTGGGGCCCTCCAAGGAGACCAGGATGGCAAGGGGACCCGAAGCCAGACCACCCGAGGAATGAGAAGCAGCCACCAGTTTGATGTCCTAGGAAGACACAATTCTGCCCATTTCTACTCACCTAGCCTGTCTGGCATCCCCAGAGCCCAGCGTGGAGCCAGGCGCA